AAACCTTGTACGTTAGTACATCATACGAATCGGTCAATACCGAGCATGGAGCGAACAGAGAAGAAGTAGAGAAAAGTTTCTTCAACACTAATTCTGAGGCGATGCGTACTGAGCAGGAGGGCGACGAGGACGACGAGGACTTTTGGCGAGCAATCGATTTGGCAGAACAGCAGCAACCTCATCAGGAACCACCACGACAAAATCTTCAAGAAATCAATGATTCAGATGATTGGGAAGACGACTGGGAGGATGATCAAGGCATCGCAACCAAGTCCAACTGTCCTAGTCCTCCTCGGGACGTAGATATTACTACATGTTGAATCTGCCTTGAGCCGTTTACAGAACCAGTATCACTTGAGGGCGGTCGTGTCTTTTGCGAGGCGTGCATCAATCAGTGCGATGGCTCTTGCCCACATTTGGCGCCACTGAGTTGTAGCTAGCATGGAGGCTGAAACAAAAAAGTCATATAAAAAGTATCTTACGTCCATCGCTGTTTTTTTTTTTTTTTTTTTTGCTGAGCTCTTTATAAAACGTTTTCTATTAAACTGTTTTTGACCGCTTTTCACTTTGGCTGAATGATAATTTTCTGAAAACGATGTTACAAATCAAGAAATCACTTTCGTGAACTCTGTATTTGACTCCTGATTTTCTTTCCATTTCTGCTCAGCTATGTATATATATTCTTTCCGCTGTAAGGTACCTTGCTTGAGCTGCTTCCCATTTCTGCTTTGCTGTTGCATACTGGCCGTATACATCAACCCAAGCCATCTGAACATTCAAGTAATCGCGCTACACTTCAATCCAAGCTTTTCTAGCAGCTAGGATCTTCTCTTGTGGCATTGGCGGCAGTGGCGATCCAAAACCCACCAGCGTGCGCATCTTCACGGTAGTCAGATCGTTTTGCGTTGAGCCGAACGAGAAAGACATTGAGTTTGGGTGGGATATATACTGCGTATATCGAATGCCAATTTTGCTGCGCACAGACCTGCGGTATTCACAATACATTCGGAGTTTTCTGAGAACGATGTTGCCCTTGCAATAAAATGTTAGTTACTGACTAAACTAGGTACACGAACGATGATAGATATCGTTACTCCTACTGCGATAAGCATGGCCACCACCTTTACCCAAAGAGACCACTTTGCTTCTTGAGAGGATTCATGCGCTTGATAGTACATTGACTCTAGACAGTATAATTAAATTTAAGACAAATCGTTATCATCCTACGTTTATCTTAATCAGCTCATGCTTTAGCTGATTCCGGAATGTATAAAGTAAATTCGCTACGGGATTCGTGCACGAATATAGATTCATAGTCGTGAATGGGATAGAAGCAGCTGAAAACTTCCCACGGTAGATACGTGAAGTCAAATAACTCCTGCCGTTAGAGACAACGGTCCATTTGGTGTGGCAGCAATCAACTGTTCCATACGAGTAACAGTTGGTACAGATTTCGCGAGGGTACTCATAGACATCACCATAATGGTAGTGGCAGTCCAGACCAACCAGTCGATATCCGCGGTCAATGCGCACCAACACATCATAGCTGAAACGACGATTCCAGTACCCTGTTATTCCTGCCAGATCATCATCATACATTGCTTCGAGAAGCACAACCGGAGGCGAAATAAGATTGTCCATTGTGGTTGTGACTAGTTGACGCTTTTGGGTGTACGACCTATTACTTTTCTTCATATGCTTTTTTTGTAGATAAAAAAA